CAGCTGCAGAGGTCATAAGCCATGAAGCTGGCCCTGCTCTGAGGCCAAGTTGTTGGTAAGTGGCAGAGCTGAGATTTGAACCCAGGGAGGTGTGCTACTGGGACAGTCACCTGAGAAGAGATGGGTGGTTCTGAGCCGCTGGCCAGGATTGGGGGCTAGAACAGAGGGGTCAAGGGCCTGGGTCCTGGTTAGGTCACTGCTCCTGGTGCCCTGGGCAGCTGGTAGGTGTCCACGTCTAGCAGGTTGAGTGGTGGCCCCCATAAAAGATGTGTCTGTGAGTGGATATGCCCTTATTGGAGATAGGGTCTTTGCAGATGTGACTGAATTAACGATCTCAAGATGAGATTATTCTGGAATAGGCTGGGCCCTAAATTGAATAATGGGTGTCCTTACAAAAGAAGAGAAGGGGAGAAGTCAGAAGAGGAGATCATGTGATCACAGAGGCAGAGACTGGGACAATTCAGCCACAAACCAAGGGACCACGGAGCCAGCAGGAGCTGAAAGAGCAGGAGGGTCCCAGAGGGAGCGTGGCCCTGCCCACACCTGGATTTCAGACTCTGGCCTCTAGAACTAGGACAGAGAGTAAATTTCTGTTGTTGTAAGCCTCCAATTGGGGTAATTTGTTACTGCAGCCCCAGGACACTAAGACTCCATCTTACAGGGTTCTTGGCTATTTCAAAAGTCAACTTAAAATGCTTCCCTTTAACGTGTCTGTACTGGTGTGGCCGAAGCAAGGTCTCTGGGTTCAAATCCCACCAGGCTTCAAATCCCACCTGAGTCCTGGCGCGTGGCCCCGGGCAAAGAGCATGGGCTTGCTGGGCCTCAACTTCCTCATCTGGAAGTGGGGAATCCAAATAGTGCCCACCTCAAAGGCTGTAGTGGAGACAGATGAGTAATCCACATAAAACGCACAGAATGGGGCCTTACCCAGACTAAGTCCCCCCAAAGAATTAAACAATTATCCTTGTTATATGACCTGGTTATTCTGATTTCTGGAATTTACCCCAAAGAAATAATCAAAAGAAAATCAGAAAGCAAATATATCTAATATGGTATTAACTACAAAAGCAACAAGTTGGAAACAACCCAACAATGAACTCTTCACAGAATCCAACAGTCACCAAAGAGGTGTAAACGATGCTGCCTTGATACGTACGACACTCATGCCCAGACGCTAAATAAGCAGTGAATATGGGACAGCACCAGAGCTGCATGGAACCACACCTGCGAGCAGCACGGGAGGACAGGCAACGTGGAAAACCGTGAGCAGTTAAAGGGCCGTGGGGACAGTAGTGCTTTACAGTTTCCTTGTAGGTAACATATCCCTTATAGAAAAATTATAAATCAGCCTCTACAGAGGAGGAGAGTCCGGGCTGGTGGGCCTGGGTCTGTCTTGGTTAAGCACAAAATGAGGGGTGCTGTGCCCACCCCTCATACCCTGAGTCACACTGAAACCTGTGTTGGCTTCACCACCTCCAGAGACCAAGGCTGGGTGGGTGGAGGTGGCGTAGGGCCAGCAGCACCAGAGCTAGTTATGAAAATTATATGAACAGGCCTCGTCGGACTGCGGGCTCCCGTCCCATCACTTAGCAATTCTATGGCCTGGCTCGGAAGGCAGCCCTTTTAAAAGCTCCCAGCCCCAGAAGCTCTTAGCTTGCTGCTGGGCTTTTAGTCCTGCAGGGAGCCTGGGGGAGCAAGAGGTGGGAGTATGTTTCCCAGGTATTGTTGGGATCTGTGGTGTCCTGGTCCACTTCCCTGGTTGAGTCCCCGCCTTGCACTGGAAGGAAAGTGGTCCCAGAAGAACCCAAAGGAGGCTGGTTCCTTTGTCCAAGATGTCCTGACACGGGCCGGCCCGTGGCTCACTCGAGAGAGTGCGGTGCTGGTAACACCAAGGCCGTGGGTTTGGATCCCT